CTGTGGAGCCGCTTCAAGAAAGGAAGCAGGTTGTAGAGCCGCTTCCAGAAAGAAATCAGGCCATGGAGCCACCAAAAAAGTAGGCTACAGAGCCGCTAAGGAAGTAGGTTGTGGAGCCGCTAAGGAAGCAAGTTGTGAAGCCGCTTCCAGAAAGAAAGCAGACCGTGGAGCCGTCGAGGAAGCAGGCCGTGGAGCCACCTTCATAAATGAAGCAGGTTGTAGAGCCACTTTCAAAAAAGAAGTAGGTTGTGGAGTCGCTTTCAGAAAGAAAGCAGGCTGTGGAGCCGCTAAGGAAGCAAGTTGTGGAGCCGCTTCCAGAAATAAAGCGGGCCATGGAGCCGCCAAAGAAGCAAGTTGTGGAGCCGCTTTCAGAGAGAAAGTAGGCTATGGAGCTGCTTTCAAAAATGAAGCAGGCTGTGGAGCCACTTCAAGAAAGAAAGCAGGTTGTGGAACCATTAAGGAAGCAAGTTGGGGAGCCACATCCAGAAAGAAAACAGGTTGTGAAGCCGCTAAGGAACCAGGCTGTAAAGTTTTTTTTCCAAAAAAGAAGCAAGTGGAGGAGCTTCCGGAAGAATTCAAAGCTCAGGAAGAATTTCAAGAGTTAGAGGAAGTTGTCATTGACGAAGAGCCTATCTTAAAATGGAATGATGTGGCAACGATAATAGAATTTAAGAGGTTCGAGCCTGGCCAAAACCATAATGTCAAGCCTTTACACATTCGGGTCTCGATGAATGGCTATCCGCTTGACCAAGTTCTGGTGGACAATGGAGTTTCTGTGAATGTGTTGCCAATTGAGACCCTATGGAAGTTCGAAAAGACTAATGACGATTTGATTTCTACATTTGTACGGCTTACCAATGTTGTGGGAAATTCTTACAAACCGGCAGGTATGATCACTTTGAATGTGCAGGTGGGACAAAGGAAATATCATCATATTTCATGGTGATTGATAGTTGGCCATTCTATTCGGTTCTCTTGGGACGGAATTGGATTCATGCATGCAAGTGTGTGCCTTCAATACTTCATCAAACGTTTATGTTTTGGGATGGAAATTAAGTTCAAGAAGTGAAGGCCGAGGAGGATCCCTAGTTGACAGAAGTGACCACAGTTGATTCAAGCGAACGGCTCAAAGAAAAAGGACATTGGCTCAATGGAAGCGATCCCCCAGCCCTTTTGAGGAGGGCATTGTTGGACTTGGGTCCAAAAACACCTGAACGTGAAAGAGGCTCAAAGACAAAAGTGGAGCCAGAGCTCATTGGCCACGGAGCCGCTCAACAGCAATGGAGCTTCAAGCCTCGGAGCCAAAGACTGCTGCGGAGCCGAAGGCAACAGCTTCCATTGGATTGTGGTGCTTCCACAGGGCCGGAAGCAGCAGCCTCCATGGACCTTAGGGCAGTAACTCCTTGGACTATGACGCCTCCATCTCGGAACAATGGTTCCATAAGGTCAGAAATTCCATTAGGTTGAAAACAAATACCTTCATTGGACTGCGGTGCTTCCACAAAGTAGAGGAAGGTTGCCTCCAAAAGATAGAAAGCAACAGCTTCACATCCCCATGGACCGGCTAGAAGTACGATGGAAACAAGTCGGAGTAAGCGACAAATCTAGTCTAGAGGCAATGGAAGAAGTATGGAGCAAGTGGAACCCGGTCCAAAGGCAATGGAAGCGGTTGGGAGCTGATGGAAAGAGGTTACCAGGTGGTTGATGGAAGGAGGTTACTAGGTGGTTTACAGAAGGTTACCAGGTGGTTGGGAGATGATGGAATGAGGTTACCAGGCGGTTGAGACTGGTGGAGGAATAATTGGAACTGCTCATTTTAGTGGGAAGAGGCAGTTATTCTATCTTAGGATTAAAACTAGGAAAAAACACATCACACACATGCACAAGAAGATGAACTCGCATATTTTTCTATTTCCTTTTCGTAGTTTTTAGTTTCCATTTATGCATTTTAATTTGAATTACTTGTCTTTATGTTTCTAGCATATTTGTATCCGTTTTTCAATAAATTTATCCGAGTTTTAGTAGATGTTAGTTTAAATCCATCAAAATCGGTCATTTAGGCTCAAAGCCTCGTTCAGGCTCGAAGCTGTGTGCAGGCTCCACCAAAGGAGCCACCCCAAATCCGACGACGGACAGGCTCTTTGGAGTACTTCCGGAATCTACAACAAAAAATCGACGAACGGTCTTGGAACCTCCGAATTTTAGGTTCCAACACAGAGCTTTAATGCTCTTTTCTCCTCTTTGGTTATGGAATTCAAAGGAGAATCACCAGCCCTTGCCATGGCTCGATCCGTTGATGAAAATCCTGCCTCATCTTTCTTTATTCATCCAAATGAAAGTTATGGAAGTGTGTGCATTCAACCTGAACTTAGAGGAGCAAACTATGCAACCTGAAGCCATTCTTTTCTTTTAGCTCTTTCAATTCGGAACAAGGATGGTTTCTTGGATGGCACCACTCTTGAACCAGCACAAACACATCCTACACGACATGCTTGGACTCGGTGCAAAAATCTCATTCTCGTTTGGCTTTTCAACTCCATGGCACCCAGCCTTGCATCTACTGTATTCTACATGAAAACAGAAAGCCAAATCTGGAAAGCTCTTCACAAACGTTTCTCTGTTCCCGATGACAACCGCATTTGCAAATTGCAGGGTGAACTCTATCCAATGGCACAAGGTTCTAAATTAGTGTATGAATATTATACCAACCTTATGGTGATTTGGGAGGAACTGTGGTATTATCACCCACCACCACACTACAAATGTGAACTTTGTAGCAATGAGTGTTTTCAAGGATTTCAAGCTCAACATGAACAGGACCTAACCTTCAAGTTTCTGAATGGGCTGCATGAGAGGCATTCTGTCATCCGGTCACAACTCAATCAAAATTCTTTCCCTGTATTGGATGAGGCCTACAATGTTGTCCATCGGGAAGAGTCACAACCACAATACACTAAGCTCACTTGGGAAGACACAACATCTATGGTAGCCATAACAAAGAAAAGAAATAGGAAGGAGCTCACATGTTTTCATTGTGGAAAGAAAGGACATACTAAAGATAAGTGCTACAGACTTATTAGATTTCTAAAGGACTTCAAGTTCACCAACAGCACACCAGCTCGGCCGTCCATCATGCACAAGGACCTGAGCCATCAGTTTCCTTCCACCCTCCATCACAGCAGCACCTTACAGTTTTAGATCATCATGCATTTGCACAACCTGCTGAGAGACAAAATGCTTCACAGAGCTCCCTGCAGGCAGATTATGGGGGTGGTATACCTTCATTTTCTGGTAATAACACTGAACCTACTCTCTCCATATGTTTTTCTATTACAAACCCTGTCATCTCTTCCACCTTTACCTCAAGTTGGATTGTAGACATCGGTGCTACAGATCACATATCCGGAAACATTTCCCTACTTTCTCATCTCCAGCCAATCACTGGATTTTTGGTCACATTGCCTAATGGCACACGAATCACAGCCAGTCATGTTGGTTCTGTGTCTGTCACCTCTACTATCACTCTATCTGAAGTTCTCTTAGTCCTTAGATTCATCTGCAATCTGTTGTCTGTCAGTAAGCTCACTACTTCACAACAATTTCGTTTTATTTTTTTTCTAATGAATGTTGGTTGCAGGCCTCACCATCGTGGATGACGATTGGAGTTTCTAAGCAAGTAAATGGCTTGTACCTCCTCCATTAGGACTGCAATCGATCTTCTTCTCTTCACCAACCATTTGCTCAATCTATTTCATCTGTCATATGGCATTTTCGCATTGGTCATGCCCCTTCAAAGATCCTATCTCATCTGAAAGATAATGGCGTTATACATAGATAGCCAACTAACTATCTGTGATACTTGTCATCGAGCCAAACAAAAACAGCTCAAGTTCTTTGTTCATGTCAAGAATACTGTCATTCCTTTTCATATAGTTCATGTTGACATTTGGGGGTCGTATCATGAAGAGTCTTTAGCGGGTCACAAATATTTTCTTACCATTGTCGATGACTTTTCCCGATTCAATTGGACTTATCTTATGCATAGAAAATCTGAAAAGGCGTTGCTTATTCAAAAATTTCATCGATTTGTTATGACTTAGTTTTATTCTCATATCAAAATCATTCGTTCAGATAACAGTGTTGAATTCAATCTCACTTCTTTTTTTGAAGAAATGGGGATAATTCACCAACGTTCTTGTGTCTCTACTCAACAAAATGCAGTTGTCGAGCGTAAACATGGGCATCTACTCACTGTAGCTCGTGCCTTGTTGTTTCAAGGAAATCTTCCCATCAAATTTCGGGGAGATGCTCATAAATAGATTGCCTTTTCGTGTCCTTGAATATCAAACACCATATCTACTCCTAAATCGCAGGTCACCTAACTATGATCATCTACGTACGTTTGGTTGTTTGTCTTATGCGTCCACCTTACCCAGTCATCGTTCAAAATTTGACAGCAGATGTATTTTCATTGGCTATCCTGCTGGGATAAAAGGCTACAAGCTATATGATTTGGATGATCATTGTGTTTTCATATCTCGTGATTTCATTTTTTATGAGACCGAGTTTCCTTTTCAGGAGCAGCCATCGATATCCAATCCTGGTCCTGAAAGTGTCGATCAAAATACATCTATCCCATTCATTCAGTCTTCCATTACTCTTCCATCCATCTCACCGCCTGTGTCACCCACACCAATTCCCCATCTCAATTGCCTCCACCTTCACAGGCAATTCCATTCACCCTGATACCCTTACTGGCAACCAAACATCTCCTGCCACCTCACCTGCACACAACGTCCATTATGATTCTTCCCAAATACCTGAATCAGCTCTGCATCGACCTTCCAGAACTCGACGCCTGCCACAACACCTCTCAAACTATATTCTTGATTCTCCCTCCCGAATCCATTTTTGATAGATATCCCCCAGTTACACCTTCCTACCTTCTGGAACCTTCTGCATGTGGGGAGGCTATGAAGCATTTAGAATAAGTGGAAGCTATGCGTGAGGAATTGCAAGCCGTTACTGATAATCATACTCGGGATGTTGTTCCTCTACCTTCCGGGAGAAAGGCAATTGATTGTAAATGGGTGTATAAGGTAAAGATTAAAGTTGATAGAACTCTTGAACGTTATAAGGCTCGGTCGGTTACCAAATGATACAACCAACGTGAGGGTTTTGATTACCATGAGACTTTCAGTCCCGTGGTTCCTCATACTACAGTTCGTCTTCTGATTGCTCTTGCAGCTTCTCACATCCTGTGGATAGAGCAATTAGATATTCATAATGCATTTCTTAATGGAGAATTAGATAAGGAAGTTTACATAGAGCTTCCAGAAAGTTTTCAGCATCTCACAGGTGCTCCTTCTACTCCAAATCAGGTTTTTCGGTTGAAAAAGGGCTTTATATGGTTTAAAACAAGCCCTTCAATGGAATGCAAAATTCACCGAAGTCCTCATCCAACTTGGATTTACTCAATCATGAGCAAATCCATCGTGCTTCTTTCAACACAAGGATCGGGGTCCATTTTTTGTTCTTCTTGTGTGCGTTGACGATATAATTCTTTGCGGTAGCTGCTGGTCCAATGTGGAACAAGTGATGCATCTTTTGCAACAGCAATTTTGAATGCACCTTCTTGGACGGCCCCGGTTATTTCTTGGAATGGAACTCACACATACAACAAATGGGATTCTTATAAGCCAAAGGAAATGCAAGATGGATCCCATTCAAGAATATCGATGTATTCAAGGGAGGACTTATGCTACTCCAATTGAGGTTCAACACAACTTCAGTGCAGCTAGTTCCACGATGCTGGATGATGCATCCATGTACCGACAAATTGTTGGTAAATTACTCTATCTCACTTTGACTCAAGTGGATATCACATATGCGATACAGGTTCTCTCTCAATATATGGATAGCCCGACAAATTTGCACATGAGGGTTGCACTACGTGTATTACATTACTTAAAGAAAGACCCAAATAACGGTATGTTTTTCCGAAATGACTCACCATTGGAAATAACAGCTTATTCGGACAGTGATTGGGTTGCTTGCATGGCTACTCGACGGTCAATTACAGGATATTGCATTTTCTTGGGACATTCATTAATCAGTTGGAGATAAAAAGAAACAATCAGCGGTAGCTCGGAGTTCAACGAAGGTGGAATATCGTGCATTAGATGCATGTGCATGCGAAGTTATGTGGATACAAAATATGTTGGCTAAACTTCAGGTCACTCTTCTTGGGACTTCAAAGCTTCTATGCGACAATCGGAGCACAATTCAGATTAGCAAAAATTCAGCGCACCATGATCGAATCAAACATTTTGATCTCGATGTACGTTTTGTTCGAGAGAAAGTTTAGGATACTATGTTGATTGTTGAACACATTTCGACGAAAGAGCAATTAGCTAATATATTGACTAAAGGCTTATCAGGTTCAATATTTCAGAAATTATTGTTCAAAATGTGTTTGCCGGAGCCCAACCACATTTTGCGGGAGGGTAATAAATTCCAGAGTTTGTGTTGTGTTGCTAGCATTATGAATTGGAGCAGGGTCACCATTTTTGTCTTTTGTGTAACAAATTACCTTCGACGTGACATAAAATTGTTGAGATAGTACAAATTAATTGTTATTAGTTCATAACTAAAAAGGTAAGTGTTTTTGGTAAAAAATATAAAAACAGATAAATTTTCTCTCCAACTTTCTCTCTGTTTTCTTTTATATTTCATTTATGTTCTCAATCTCGTAAAAATTATTAATTTTTTTTTTGTTTATAACGGAGAATTGATAATCTTTTTATAATTGAACTAAAACTTATTGTTTTTATATTATTAGAAGCACTTTTTATTTTTTACCTAAATAATTTTATAAATATTAAAAAAATCTGTGAATGATAAATGGCAATTGTTTAAAATAGAGCAAACACATCCTCCGGTGTACTTGCCCGAAATGTAATTTGAAATGCCAAAGCAGTGTAACACGACGATTATTATACAATATTCCTGGCTGTGGCTGCAACTATTTTCCGTTAATTAAAGTGATTATTGTTTCCCATCCATAATGTAACAAAAATCTGGAGTATTGGCCGCCATGCGAAGACTATGTCCATGACTGGAGTGGAGTACGCAAGGCAACATTCCAAGTTTGGGGTGAAACAGATAGATAGCTAAGCTGATGTAATTGTAATTGTAATTGTAATTGAGGACCTCCTTAATATATTTCTGTATTTATCCAATGCCCACAATGGCCAACCAAATTCAATCACCGTTTCTGCTGCATCTCTCCGATAACACTAATTCTTTCAACATACTCTTACCGCGAGAACCAAACTTTCCAATTCTCATATTATTCTTATTATTTCAATCTTGACTTCAACTAGTTTGGATTTATATAACAACCTGGCAGATTCCTGGGTGTGTGTGTGATCGTTTCTAGCAAATTGTATGACGGCGGAAGAGTGAAGAAATGGCATCAGCAAAGCTGAGTCAAACGACGTCGTTAGCAACCTGCTGCTTATGCTTAGCTTGTTTGTTTCTGTTGCCAATTCTGAAAAAACTCATCCGGCTGTTGTTTCTGTTTCTTGTTGTTCCAAATATTATGTTTTTTTTGTAGAATTGCAACAATCTGCAATTTATCTGACATTATAAAAATCTCTTGGTGGTGTGAAAAAACGAATCTCCGGGCTTACAGCTATGGGCTATTTCACGCTTCTTCTGATTACAGCTTTCTAAGTTAATAATGTGGTTATTGGGAAATGAACGAAACCAAGCTTAACTGATATCTGCCTTGTGTTTAAGTTAGCAAACTAGAACTAGAACTAGAACTAGAACTAGAAGCAGCATGAAAGCTTCAGCGTTTTTTGTTTTAATTTGTTCCTTTCCTTTCCTTTCTTTTTAATTAGTCAGATTTTAGAATATTCTTCTCTAGTGACTTGAGTGCATTGCAATCCATCGAGTCAAGTCTGATCGATCCATCTTCGCAGAGGGGGTCATATCATATGCTATTATCATAACACCAGTCTTGATGACGGCTAATGTTCAAGAATTGTATGATTTTTTTGAGCAACAAATGAATGGTGATCCTCGTCTGTTTTCGTTTATTTCTCTCAACAGGAGGCTGTTGCTGGATAGAAACCTATCAGGAGAACTTGGTCGTTTGTCTTATTTGCAGATAGTGTGATTCTCCTCCTGTGGTTTAGAGGCATGGCCTATTACAGTAAAAGTATGATCGCTATGCATTCTGTTGTGACGCATTCCTAGTAATTGTTTCGAGCATTTCAACTTTGAAACTTGTGTGAGTACAAATACCTCTTTGGTCTTCTTTCAGCATTCTTTTAACATTATGCAATTCTTACTGCTATCTTGCAGGCTTCTCAGTGGAAATCGACTAACCGGTTCCTCGCCTCAAGAACTCGGATATCTGTCCAATTTAAACCGAATGCAGAATGGAATATCCGGACCAATTCCCCTGTCCTTTGCCAACTTGAGCAGTGCAAAACATTTGTAACACACACCTGCTGACTATTTCTGTTTGTTCTGATTTCTACACTTGAAAGTGATGCAGTTTTGGTCTCGACATTTTTCTAATGATTCTAACCTTTTTGCTATGCTATATCATCATCAGTCACTTTAACAACAATTCGTTCAGTGGTCATATACCACCCGACTTGGATGTCATTCATTCTTAATGTCTTGTTCTGTTTACTGAAGGAAAAAGTTTATTCAGGTTGCTGGATAATAACAACTTATCCGGAGTTGTTCCACCGGAACTCTCAGAAATGCAGTCTCTGCTGATACTGTATATATGGTTCATTACACATTCGCAGTTTGGAAATCAATCGTATACAGAAAGTCTCATTTTTATTATCTGCATTCTTCTGTTTTCCAGGCAACTTGATAACAACAACTTCACCGGGAGTATATAATACCCTCTTCTTACATTGACGTGCCTCTCCTGCTGAAGCTGTAAGTCCTACAACCCCTGCAATGTTAGAATTCAAGATCTTTTCTCTCTGGACATATTAACAAAGATAATGCCACACACTCTTCTGGCTGTATCAGGAGTCTAAGGAACACTGCAGTTTGCGCGGGAATAACCTATTCCCGACTGCGCATCATCCGAGCGCCTCATTCTGTAAGGCCAAGACAAATAAAATGATCTTACTATCTCCATTTGGTCAACAAACTGAAAAATGATCATCTAAGATAGATATCCGCTTCTTGATGTTGCAGGGATTTCCAGAACAATTCCTTTATGGATGTTTCAGGCAGGCAGTCTCGCCATCCCTCCCAACGTTTCCATCGGGTTTGTCTTCATGCCACCATATCTTGTGACGATTCTCGCTGCTCCACTGTACATTGGATACCCATGAAGATTCCCGGCTTTTCGGATTTTATTCCATATGTCGATGATTTCAAGGAGTACCTTAGTTCTGGACTCAGCTTGCATCTGTATCAGCTTGTCCTCGACTCGGCTGAATGGGAAGGGGAGCCGAGCCGTCTTAGAATGTTGCTCAAGATCTTCCCATTCAATGCTGATGAATCCGTGAGGATATTCAATCGGAGCAAGGTCATACGAATCCGTGGCATGCTTAGCAGATGGAACATTCATGACAACAAAGTATTCGGACCTTTTGAGCTTCTTAACTTCACACTTTCGGAGCCTTACAATGAAGGCAAGCGTCCGAATCTTATCACCTTGTTTCGATTTCCATAACATGGGCGACAATTATGTCGTCGAGGAGTGTCCTGACTTGTTTATAGTTACCTTTTCACAGAATTTCCCCCAGGATCATCGTCAGGTATGAGCAAGGGTGCTCTAGCAGGCATTATACTCAGGACATTAGCTGCTGCAACACTCACTGTATCTGCTATGGTCTTGCTTCTTGTCCTAAGACGTCGCCTCCAGAAACAACACAATTCTTCGAAAAGGCGCCTCTGTTAGCATCTTTCTTTCGATAATAAATACTTCACTTGCTAAGTTCAGCACATTCTTTTTGCCTATCCGCCACACTACGTAAGCAATCCTTGTTTTCACACAATGGCAGCATCTAGAGCATCGATCAAAATTGATAGCATTAAGAATTTCACTTACGCTGAAATGGCACTGGCGACGAGCAACTTTGATGTCTCGAGCCAGGTCGGGCAAGGAGGATACGGGAAGGTTTACAGAGGCACCCTTGCTGATGGAACTGCTGTGGCCATAAAAGAGGGATCGCTTCAAGGAGTTCCTCACAGAAATCGAACTGCCGTCGAGATTGCATCACAGAAACTTGGTTTAGTTGGTCGGATACCGCGATGAAGAGCGCGAACAGGTATGATCATGTATGTCCTATATTTTAAGCGCACAAAGATAGCCATCTCGACATTAACTTAACAATGCAGATGCTGGTTTACGAGTTCATGCCCAACGGAACACTGAAGGATCACCTATCCAGTAAATCTCGACTTCATTAGTTCATGCCGTTCTTCGAAGGTCCTCCGGTATCACAAAATGTCAATGACATTACAGGGAAGTACAAGATGCCAATGAGAGTAAGGATCGCTTCACGGGGCATTCTCTACCTTCACACGGAAGCTGATCCTCCGATATTCCATCGGGACATCAAAGCAACCAACATATTGCTGGATTCTAAGTACACAGACAAGGTTGCCGATTTTGGGCTGTCCCGACTTGCTCAGGTGCCAGATCTCGAGGGATCAGAACACAGTCACGTATCTACCGTAGTCAAGGGAAGGGAACCCCTGTATGTAACAAAACTAGACCTAGACCTCCTCCAACATATATATATCTTTCGTAAGACCAACTATCCTATAACTTGACATCTGCTTCTTACAGGGATATCTGGATCCCGATTATTTCCTCAAGAGCGAGGTTTATAGCCTCCGGGTTGTGTTCTTGGAGCTGTTAACTGGATTGCAGCTGATTTTCCATGGCAAAAACATTGTCCGGGTACCGACCGTTCCACTATCACTGACTCTCTTCCTTGAGTCGATTCCATCTCATCTACCTCAGGTCGGCTGACGAACATTTATTTCAGGTGAACACTGCATACCATTCGGGAATGATACTCCCGATCATTGATGTCACCGGGGGACCTTACCCTGCTGACTCCATGTGTGTGGGGAAGTTGGTGAACCTGGCCGGGCCCTCAATTGGAGATGATCCCAGGAAGAGGGGCGTGCCTCTGTCATCATCAACGCCTTTTGTCTGAGGATGACCAATTTCATCAGCGGAGACGCTACAAGCGTCGAACCGAGGTGAGACAGGAGGCATTTCATTAAGGTGGTTATGTACTTCTGGACAGCAGAGAGCTCAAGAACAACTACTGCATCCATGCATGCATTATTAATTACTGCAGCAGGATAGATAGTCGTCTCTGTCTTCTTTAGCTTTTCTCAGACTAGTTATTGAATAAATAGGTGTTAAATAATATAACATACATTGTAAATAGAAAATACAACAAGAAGATTTCACACAATAAATAAAATACCAAATATTTTACACATTTTTTACTAAAATACAAGAAATATTATACGAGTTACTCAAACATACTTAATGTGCCGAAATCAACTTCAACATTACCTGCATTCATACAACACAATTATACGATTTTATTTAACACTTTATGGGCTGTTTTTAATTCACGTGTTCATTATATTAAGAATTCAACAGATTATATGAATTCACACAGAACAACTATATATTTTTTTATATTATGTTTGTAATTTATGTGTTGTTTGTCTTTTTAATTCAGCACCCTAAGAGCCACCATTTTAAAGTTTAAACATATCAGAACTTAAAACACATGCCCCCCCCCCCCCAAAAAAAAGAGAGGAACGCGCAAATTACATGTAAACAAATTCACGGAAAGATGTACAGTTTCAATGACGGATCTGATTAAATTTGATGAGAATAAAGTCATTCAGTTAAACTACACTACACATGACTGACTACTAACTAAGATTATTCATTGAAAAGTTGACCAGCATGGGAAATGTTTATTAGGATAATACATCAAGCAATGCATTAAATCCCATTCCCCAAGAGAAACGCTTGGAAGAACTCAGAATCCATGGATCCTAAGGCAAAAACACAAACTATGAACTTTCCTTCTTAAGGCAAAACACAAATTAATTTACCCCATTCATCGACTTCAGTATCTGTGTTCCATCTTCTCCTTTTCTTGATACCACTGCACGTATCTGCAAACCTCCCCCCCCCCCCCCCCCCCAAAAGATTCAATTATCAGGCTAGTTGTTCCAATAACAGATTAGACAGAAAATTGACTGTTGTGACATGGGCCAATGTCAAATCAATAGAATAAGACATGTTTCTGTCTGTCAGTGAGCATGGGTTCGCTGATTTGTGTTGTGAAATACTTATACTATAACGTAGTTGTAAACAAGAAAAACTGAACTCAATAAATGCTGACAACGACGATCTAGTTAGAGTGCAATAACATGTGTGTAACAAAAGAAACAAAATGCTGATCAGGTGCATGCCTATAACCCATTGCCGCATCCAAGCACATTGAAATTTCACTTCGCAAGACATATATTATGATAAAGAATAGACACTGACCTTATTACACCCGGGCATGTTCTTTCATTACTTCATTTCAGTTTAGCATTTTTGGTTCCAAACAAGTATCTCATACTCGTTATTCCAGTTCCCAAAACAATGAAGAAACGACTTAAAACAACACAAAATACACAAAAATAATTCCAAGTAAGTCCGCGCTAAGCAACTAGGTAGTCAAAGCAAATCTAGAACTTCATGTAAAACCATCATTTATTTAAAACCACAGATTTATTTGAAATGGATGTTTTCTAAAGGTAGAACCTTTGTGACTGTCCAATGTCAAATATATTAAAGCATTCATTTTTTTATATTTTCCAAGGAAAATAAATCATAGCCGCCCATTTATGTATCTTGATTAGTAAGGAACAGAACAGTTTAATCCTGTCGATTACTAGGTAAAAATTTAATAACTGTAACATTGTTAACAAAAAACATGCCATAGAACACGATGACATCGTCAGACTCTCATGGGACATAATTTAAACCCATTATATTGTGCATAACTACCATCAGGCACCGGGAACGTCTCTCATCAGGTTGCAAATCAGACAAACAAAGAAGCCTAATTAATTTACTATAATTGTCTATTTATTCTTATTGGTCGATTAAAGAGTAGTTTAGGAAAAGTTTAGACGGTTTTGACGGATTTTACATTGTTTTACATGCAAATAGATACTAGTATAGCAATGTAATGAAAAACACAGGTCAATTACAACAAAGATCATTCGATCACTTATTTACTTCATTTTACAATTGTAGACATTCTTGAATTCATTTTCTTCGTGCACGTCCACCAATCTATAATCTGATAGCTTCATAACGCCAAACTATCACAATCTTGTTGTTACATCATTACTGATGTAACTTTCCTCCTAAAATGATTAGGATTAGTAACACTGATTATGACTAATCGTTAGAAGAAACAAACACTAGATCGATTGAGCACAAAAAAAAAAAAAAAAGCGTCTTCATTGAGAAATAAATCAGTATCTAACAGAATTTAGCCACATTGATTGATACCAAGTATTGTAGAAGAAGCCTTTTCATCGTTTCTTATTCCATTAATTAAGAATAGCAATTATAAGAATCTAAAGACTCGATTACGGGGTAAAACAAACCAGATCAAAAGTTCTCAGATATATCCTTCACCTCAATACAGAATAACAATCGGATCAATCGCATACACCAATAAAAACCGCGAAACATCGCAGTGATCGAAATCATAGATTCATATATATACAAATAAATAAATACACATTTGATATGCTTACGAGTAGGTGCCGACGAGCGGACCGAGCAGCAGAGTAGCGCTGATCCAATTCTCGGAGACCTTGTGGGCGATCTTGGTCGGAAAGTCCTTCCAGAGGCCAGGCATCACCTTCTGCTGGAATGGCGACAGAGCATACACCACCGCCTTCAATTTCACCGGTTGCTTCCCCATTTTCGCTGGCACCACCTACAAATTAGGGTTTGAATGAACTCTTGCCCTAAAATGGTTTCCGGAACGAAACGAACGGCAGAGCCAATGAACGCTAATGGCTGATGAAAAAATGTACTCCATTTATTTAGAATGATTACATTCAAATATATTATAGGCAGTTGGGATTTTGGGTGTTTAATGGGCCTTCGGTTCCCTATGTTTAGAGTCGGCCCAATTACAATTATTTAAAGCTCTTGGGATTTTAACAAAGATTTTTTGGCAAAATTGCCTCAAACTTCATTGTGATTTTCCTAAGTTGTTGAAAATTTTATTTGTTTCTAAAATTCCAAAAAACTTAGTTGTGGTTTTGTAAAATCTTGCATACTCGCTCCTCCTTCCAAAAAGCACTGACGACATTAAATTTAACTCTTGTTGGACCGTTTTGTCCTTTAGTGTATTTTGTAGTTAGGAACTAGGGCAAACAGATTCACTCTATCGCGATTTCACTCTCACCCATCGATCCGCTGCTCTGAAGCCGAATCACGACTGCAGCGTCTTGTCCGCCGACGCCACCGCTTTCGCCTTCATCGCTCTCTCCGCCAATTCCGCCTCCATCACTCGTTCGTATCCAATTTTATTTGGCCAGACCGGGAAAAAAAACTAGGGCTGAATTCGTGGAGTCCTTCATATATAGGTAAAATTTTGCAATTATTTTAAAGCTCTTTCGTGATTTTAACAAAGATTTTTGGCAAAATAGCATCAAAGTCTACTGTGGTTTTCCAAAATTGTTGAAAATTTCATTTGTTTCTAAAACTCCAAAACACTCAGTTGTAGTTTGTAAAAACGTTGCATACTCGCTCCCCCTTCCAAAAAGCACTGACGACATAAAATTTAACTCTTGTTGGACCGGTTTGTCCTTTTGTGTATTTTGTAGTTAGGAACTAGGGCAAACAGATTCACTCTCTCGTGATTTCACTCTCGCCCATCGATCCGCCGCTCTGAAGCCGAATCATGACTGCAGCGTCTTGTCCGCCGACGGCACCGGTTCCACCTTCATCTCTCTCTCCGCCGCTTCCGCCTCCATCACTCGTTCGTGTCCAATTTTATTTGGCCAAACCGGGAAAAAAAACTAGGGCTGAATTCGTGGAGTCCTTCCTATATAGGTAAAATTTTGCAAATGTTTGTCGAATTGTGAGTAAGAAGACATTAAATTGTGCGAAAACAACTGGTTAAGTTCGATTTTGGTTTAGCGAGGGTCCACACGAGATCGACCGTATATACACGTTGGTTTCTTGAAAATATGAGTTTTTTTTGTCTTTTTGGATTGGGTTACTTTATCCCATTATTTATTATGCAATTTTTTTGTTGTATCTTTTGTAGGAACTACCAATTTTGATGGCGCTTGATTCATTCTAAAATTCCATATTGTTTTGGTGGAGATTGCTAGTTATTCTGACTGGTTGTGGTCCCCTACCTCTCTATGGACAATTTATATATTATATATGTGGGTTGGTGGGTATACCGAGTGGGAGGGCCCATGTCATCGTTATAAGGGTGGTAGGACAGTTCGATTTTCGGGTATCGACAAGGACCGGATTTATTATAGTGCTCTCTTAGATATGTATGCCCGCGCAGGCAAAAGAGCAGGGGTTGTAGAGCTCACATACTGGAACCCTATCAGCGGCCATGGTGTTAATCTTCGGGGACCGATTTATATGATTAGATGCGACAAAGATGTTCTAGAAATGTTCAAGATCCATTACGGAAAAAGTATAATTTCTATATATGCCAATGACAAGGGCTTGCCAATGATGGTATACAATCAGTACGGGCGTCCCACAAGGACCACAGAGACGGATGTATGTTATTTGGAATGGTGTAAGGACGTAGGGGAAAGTAGCGGTCCGGCTTTCATGCCGATTGAGCAGGACGAAGATGGTGAGGATACTGGCGATGATGTGGATGATGACGATGCAATATTCATGGATGATATGTGTGGGATCATGAATGATAATTTTCAAAACCAAGGAGTTGAGGACCTAACAAATAGATTTGATCCGCATGACGAACAAATGGATCTTAAAGGGAAAGGTATTGCACGATCAGAAACGGAAGAGGTGAGCGATGATGATGAGGAGGGTGATGATGACGATGAGAGCAGCGATGACGATGAGAGCGATGATGATGATGAGAGCGATGATGATGCGGACAGCTATGGTGACGATGATGACGAGGAAAGCCAAGGGGATTCAAGTACATAGGTGTTGAGGAACCAATGTGGATAGATTACAACGAGGACATGGGAGGTCACGCGAGGTGCGAGGCGGAGTATGGAAGCCCTGTCGGTAAGATCAGCCAAGGCTTCACATGAATTCTTATATTGTTTGTTTAATTACTTTTACTGACATGTGGCTGAAAATTTCATAGACTATGTAGATAAGGGTGATGAGGGAGGGCCGTGGACAGATTACAATGAGGGCATGGGAGGTGAGGCTTGATGCGAGGCAGAGTATGCCAGCCTTGTAGGTAAGATCGGCCAGGGCTTCACATGAATTATTATATTTTTTTCTAAATTATTTTTACTGACATGTGGCTAAAAATCTCATAAACTATGTAGATAAGGGTTACGAGGGAGGGCCATAGACAGATTACAATGTGGGCATGGGAGGTCAGGCTTTGAGTGAGGTGGAGTATGCAAACCCTATCGGTAAATCAACCAGGGCTTCAAATGAATTCTTATATTGTTTTCTTAATTATTTTTACTAATTTATGGCTGAAAATTTCATAAACTATGTAGACAATGATGATACTCATAACACCGATGCCGACAAATATTGGGAGGACCTACAGATTTATCGAGAGTGGCAGAAGGAGGTTGCACGTGAAATGGAAACTGACAATTCGGAGAGGGGAGAGTGGGGGAGCGAGGACGTGGTTGGGGAAGTTAGCTCAGATGCTTATGAGGATGAAACATATTAGATGGATGAACTCTCGCAAGTGAGCAACAATGAGGAGGCTTGGGACTGTGAGCAAGAAGGAGGGGGGAATGCGGAGGCAGAAGGTTGGTGTTCTGATGGCTTGAGTTAGGAGAATGGGCTCCTCCGCAGCCCAACATGATTGTATGAGGGATTGGGTCCGGTGTTCAAGGAATGGGATGATGATTTGGACTTAGTTGTACAGGATTTGAAGGTTGGGATGAAATTTGTCAACCGAGATAAATACAGACATGCTATTCGGGATTGGGCTGTCCGTCGTGGTTGGGATTTGAATCTGGTAAAGAATGAAAAAAAAGAAGGCGATAGCCGTGTGCAGAAAGAGGTATGAGTGGAGGATACACGCGTCTTGCGTCATGGGAGGAGACATTTTCCAAATTAAAACATTAAAGGGAGTCCATAATTGCGCACATCAGTCGTCTAAGGCACATGCGAACTACAAGTACTTCGAAAAAAGAATCAAGGACATTGTTGTTGATAATCCAGACATATCTATACCTGCTTTAAAAAAGAAGATACATCGGGATATGCGTGTTGAGGTGACTTTGTACAAAGTTTACCGAGCTAAGCAGTATACAATGGAGTTGATAAAGGGGAGCAAGGCTGAACAATATAGAAGATTTTATGATTATTGTGCTACCATATGCAAATACAACCTGGGAAGCAATTGTAGTTTGCATGTTGATCGTGGACTTAACCCTCCGGTACCGAAGCAGATGTACTATTGTCTAGCTACATTGAATGACGCTTTCAAGGCAGGATGTCGGACGTTCATTGGGCTGGACGGGTGTTTTCTTTAGGGGTTCTACAAAGGGCAGCTTCTGAGGCCATCGGACGAGACCCGAATGAGAATACTACCCCATTGCCTTTGCGTTTGTAGAGAAACGTGGGACTGGTTTTTAGAGCACTTGTTGCGTAACCTTGGGGAATCGAGGATAGGGGAGTGGGCGTTCATCTCTGAACAACAAAAGGGTTTGGTGAAGGCGATTTTTTATCGAGCAACAGGGGCCGAGCATCGCTTCTGTCTCCGGCACATGTACAACAACTTCAAGACGCGATTTAAGAGACTATAATTGAAACGTCTCTTCTGGAGGGCAGCATCAACATATAATTTAAAATAAACATCTCTTCTGGAATTGAAACGTCTCTTCTGGAGGGCAACATCAACATATAATTTAAAATAAACATCTCTTCTGGAATTGAAACGTCTCTTCTGGACGGCAGCATCGATCCAATGAGGGCCCATCCGGAAAGAGGTCTGACGGCCGCAACCAGACAGAACAGGTACATGGTAGAATTCTCCTGAATCTATTTTTTCAGTGCACCATAAATATGTGTTTGTTATTTCATTGCAATGTACATTAAATTAGGGAAATACGCCGAATGATGACCCATCCAGCCCGATGTCGGATAACCGCCCCCAGGCAAAACAAGTACTCTTCGGGGCTATTCTGCAATTATTTTAGATCTCATTTTGTGGATAAATTTTTTACCATTGCAACATACCTGTTAGGTGGCTTCCAACTCTCATCCCGCTCCGGAATCGACACCAACGACACAATCGTCTCAGGTCCAATCGGTACGGCATCAACACTATTGTATTAATTTATGAAAAATATACATGCGTGTGTGAAAACTTGACAAAATGTCCATCCATAGGATCCATCCGAGACAACGTATAGGAGTGGAGCATCTCGATGTCCAACTTTATCCTCGCTTCTCCGAAGCGTTAGATTTTCGTTTAAACCGGGAGGGCGTCGACCACCATCGGCGGGTGGATCTTTAAGTGACCGTTTATGAAGCCCTATATTTCTCATATTTTTGTGTTGGCTAATGGTTGGGATTGGAACATTTCGTATAAGTAGCAGATATATTAGTATGTCGTTCGTTATGTTGTTGTTATGTCCAACGGTCATCGATAGTGGTAGTGATTGGAACATTTTGTATAATTGCCTATTACATTACCTAACGGTCGCCGATATTATATGTTTTGTATAATGTATGCTATAATGCCGTTGCGACTATAATACATGTTTAATTTTTCCAATTGCATATTGCATAATTTTGCCAATTGTATAAAGGCAGGGATTGAAATGTTGAATGCATTTAATATTGCATGTTTTGTTTTGTTTTTTTACATAATGTTGAGTGCCTATTACATGAAGGCAAGGATTGGTCCAGTGGTTACGGTTATGCATGTTTTATTTCATGTCAATTGCACAATGCTAAGTGCTACTTGTTGAAATGTTTTGTTTCTTGTCAATTGTACAATGCTAAGTGCTACTTATTGGAATGTTTTGTTTCTTGTCAATTGCACAATGTTGTGTGCTACTTGTTGGAATGTTTAATTATGCTAATTGTATAATGTTGGTCCCAGATGAATTCCTTACAATATCACAATATCCAACCCAAACTTACAATCAAAATATCAAAACACCCATATTTATACCACGGAAGGAGACAATCAAACAATGTTTCACATCCATCTTCATACCTACACCAACGCTAAAAACAAAACATCCAAATTTAAAAATCAAAACACCATTATATAAACCTACACCAAACCTAAAATCAGAACATCGAAACATCTATGTTCTTCATTACTACTACTACAACACAAAACGAGATCGGACAAACCATCGAACATATAACCAACTACTTAAAACAAGATCTTGAGTATAGTAACCGAAAAAACACCAACCATGATAAGCTTGATGTACCTCAATGTGGTGCGCTACACTTCTATTTCACGGCGTAGATCTTCCACAACCACATTCAATTGAGACACTTTATCAGCGACAACCTTTGTTTGTTTTAGTTGCTCCCCATGAAATGCAGTGGATTGAACCTCCGATTAATTCCCATCATCTCCATCGTTGCTCCACTCCCCAAAGCGGGTGCTTACTGGATCAAGCCAACGGAAAAATTGCAGGCTCCAACGCAGAAATTACAAAATAATTTTCCTTGGGTTTCCTTTGTTGGTCCAACAACATAGATTGCTACAACGGTCCTACACTTGCATCGTGGGCATCGATACCTTAGGTCAAGATCTCCCCGCCCCCTAGACTTTGTTTTTGAGTCGTTAAACGACATCTCTGATCATATTCAATAGTAAATAGTAAAATGATTGTAAAAGGAGAAAAACATATAACATTATTTGTATCAAAATACAAAATTTTAGAGATTGAGATTGTTAATCACAAAATAACTAAAATCGATTACCCACCAAAAAATACGGTTGAAGATTAGCGATCGTGAATCATAAAACTACAGTGATATGGATTTCAATATACCAAATGTATTACTGAAATCAATTACCCACCCAAAGAGATCAAATTCGGAGATTAAATCTACAGACCCAAACCCTAAACATGAGAGCTACACTAATGAAATTGGTAAAAGCATAAAATCGGTAACCATACGCCCTGATGGAAACCCATTTTCTTCGCAATGATCTACAACTGACAAATAAAATCAAATGAGACAAGAAATCCTAACAGAGCGATAAAAACGAACGATGAAATCAACTCCGATTTTAGAAAATAGATTTTTGAAAAAAAAATAGAAATTAGCGCAACTCCAACCAAATAAAATAAACTACCGTTCCGTAACCGCAACTTTTGGAATCCTAACTCCAAATAAGGTGATGAGAAGATGTTGTCGAAGATCTGAACCGTAATGGATTTTGGGTGAGGAGAATACACTCTTAGGTGAACGAAGGAATAAAGAGATAATTTTGCATGTAATATAGTTCAAAGGGTCATTTTAGTAACTTCAAAGACATATTTATTACTTTTTGGACCAATATTCGCATTTGAGGCGCGTGACGTATAGTTTCCGTCAAGTCCTAACGGAGGGGGGTTTTCGTGCAAGGTTTTACAAATCACAAGTGGGTTTTTTTGAGTTTTAGAAGCAGAGAGGATTTTCAGCAAATTTGGAAAACCACATGGAGGTTTTATGCTATTTTGCCAAGATTTTTTTTTATTCCATATTTTAATACATTAGATAATTATTTTGTTTTTTCATTTTGTGATTGATAGTGTAATTTAGAGTATTATATTTTTGATATTTTTTTAGACTAGCGGATGAGTCTAAACTAATCAAAAGAATTAAATATCAATATGAAGATGAAAAATAGGATACAATTGGTTTTTCGCTATATTATGAGCAATGATGTAATCCTACTTAAGGACATGGATGAACATGGTACGAGGAAGCTGAGCTGCAAGGGCCATAATATCCTTCTCTAAGGGAAACCAGCATGTTTGGAGCCATTGGTCCACACACGAATATTTTGAATGATATGAATATTGTCACCTTTCAAGTAATAATACTCTTCCGTGATTTAACAAGAGCAAGCTTGCATACGGCCTTGAGCGCCAACAATTCTCCAACATAGGGGGAGGCCAACTTAGACAGACAACATAACTTCATCCACAACATTTACCTTGGTTGTTATGGGCAATGATACCCATCGACACCTTTCTGGATGACATGTCGAAACCTGAATCAAAATTAATTTTAACTCAATGCGAAGGTAGGGGAGTCCAGTTGATGAGTTGTTTGCTACTTGTTCCACTACAAAAAAAATATATATTAGCGAATGATTTTTGTAAGAAATTTTATATCCCTCGCAAATACCAATGAATTTTGTTTTTACGAAGAAATTTTGTAAGGGAATTTATTAATTCGTAATTAACGAACATAATTTGCAAGGAATATAAAAATTCCTTGCTATTAGCGAAGAATTTTGCGAAAAAATTATATTTCCTCACAAAATTACAAATTAGTATTTTTATTAATAAATAATATTTTTTAAATTATTTTTAAAAATGATCGAAAGTAAAAAAAATTAATTTTCTTAATAAATTTTAGATTTTATTAAATTAATAACAAAATAATTATTATGAAAATTTATAAAATATAATATAATTTTTTATTAAAAAATATAAATATTTTTAAATAAAAAAATAAACATATTTTTATATAACAAATGAAATACTAAGGATGGTTTCTTCTAGATTTGCCCAAACGGTTCAAACCGCCGATTCCGATTACAAACCGTCGGCTACGGTTTGTCAAAATATCAAATTGAAATCGAATCTTCCGAATGACGATTTCGATTACGGTTTGATGATTTCGATTACGGTTTGAACCGTCGGTTTATATATACTCATTTTTAATATTTTTATTTTTTCTTTTCTATTTTTCTAAAAATTTGAATTTTATTTAAAAATAATTAAATTTCATTTCAATTTAATTTAGATATATTTATTATTTATTTATTATATAAAAATCATATATATAAATAATTATTTAAATTTTTACAATATAAAAATAATTAAAATAATAAATATAATAAATAATTAAATTATAAAAATATTGTAATAGATAATAAAATAATTTAAATTATATATAATTATATATAAAAATTATAAAATATAAAATATAAATAAAAAAATATTAAAAGTATTATTATTTTTCAATATTATTAATAATTATTTATATGTATTAATATTATTATTATTATTATTATATTTTAAATTTTAATTATAAATATAATAATATTATAATAAAATACACACAATTTAACCTAAATCTCTAATCACATCCACACTCCACGGACGCGCCTGAGCCAGTGAGCACCCAAAAACAGGTTCTCCCTCTTCCTTCTTCCTCAGTTCCTCTCATTTCTTTCCTTTTTTCTTCCAACCTCCGTCCTTCTCCTCCTTTCCTCTTCTTCTTTTACTGTGCGCCTGCCTGCCCCTGTAAAACTAAAATCGACTCTCCCTCCATCCTCTCTTTTCTTCAAGCCGAAGTCATCAGTTGCCGTTGGGGCGCGGACGATGACGTTCGGCAGCGCTGTTTCCATGAACGCCGCCACCGAGAGCTTTGGTGGCGCCACCAATTCTTCTCCACCATCCACCGTTGACTATGAAGGTAGCTATTGGATAAACTAGATTCCTGACTTCGTGTGTGTATGAATGCATTTTCGGAATACTGACGACTGCTTGGGGTTTTCCGATATTGTTACTCTGCACTGTAATCTGGATTTTGTATGAATATGATTGCGGTTGGGGAAGTTCGAGGGAGGCTTGTTTCTCTACCTCTCTTTCCTTTATCCTGTCGCGCCAAAGCGTTTGCGTGACTTTGTGCTTGGCTTTGATCGGAAGATATAAATCTTTTGTGTTGCTGTTGTTAAATGATCTTTTGCTATTTTCTCTTCTTCTGTTGTTGTTGTTTGTTTATTTTCTTAATGACGAGTAGCTGCTCTTTCTCATCTTTCTAGATCCTACATACATCGTCAGCTATGGGGAACCACTTTGATTAAGATTCAGACTTCGTATTGAAATTTGTGATCAATTTATATGAGGTTATTATAATTCATGTGGAAGAGGTACTTTTATGACATTCATCTGATGAAACTATCTTTCCGGCCTGTTGCACCCCTGGTTTTTCAACAAGCTGTATTGCCGAAACGGATTAGTTTTGGTGACTTTACGCTCACTCTTTGTTTCATCTAGTGGGGAGGAAGCTAGTTGGTGACTATTGTCTCATAACTTTGCCATTACTCAACAAATCACTAGGTCCTTTCATGTTTGTACTGCACAGTTGTACTCAATAGGATTCTCATCTTTGTTTTTCTGATTCAAGAAGAAGAGGATCTGCATCTAGTGTTCAGTTTGAATCTTAACTTTTCACATCAATCTTAAAGGTTAAATGTCTGATTCTCATCTGCTGTATCACACATCCTTGTAGAATTATCAGAGGCAAATGGATATAGACTTCCTCCACCAGAGATCAGAAATATTGTTGATGCTCCTCCCCTTCCAACACTATCATTTTCACCTGGTAGGGATAAAATACTCTTCCTAAAAAAGGAGATCATTGCCTCCTCTGGAAGAATTGGCAAGGCCTGAGGAGAAGCTTGCTGGAATTCGCATTGATCCCAGATGTAATTCCCGGACTCGAATGTGAGTAACAGAATAACTGTTGGACCTTTTCATGTTCCACGGAGTTCTCTTTTCTGCAATAAAACTGTGATGAGCTTTAGGTATTTTTATCTATTTTTCCTACTTCTAGTCTTTAGATGGAAATAATTTGTAATATTTATTTCCAGGTCATATTATACAGGGATTGGAATCTATCGGATAATGGAGGACTGTACATTGGGACCTGAAAAAGAAGTACATGGTCTTCCAAGTGGTGCAAAAATCAATTTTGTTTCGTGGTAAGACAGAATTCTGGTTTGTTTATCCTTTGTGTGTGTGTGAGCAAAGATAAGCTTGCTTTGTAGTCAAATGGAAAATTTATCATCAGCTGTTCAGTTCTTTGATAGAAATCGTTTGAATTTATAGTGTTAGGCTTATGTTTTATGTGACAAGACCACGAATTTGGGGTACTACTGATCTTATTTAACTTAATTTGATGGTTACCAGTTCTAGATTTGAAGTAGGAACCATCATTTAGATATGTTGTTTAGGTGGATGAGGAAACGGTATATGATTTTAAAAAAATGTATTGCGTCTAGCTTCCTGCTGCTTCTGTTTAGACACGACACTTAGAATGAGTTGGGGTTATATACATGTTCTTCCCTTTCTTGCCTGGAGTATGAATTCAGAATTTTTATTCAGTCTTCACAATTTTTTGTACAACATTCTTACTATAAAGGGCAACTCTTTATCATCCTTTTAACTCATTTTTTTTGCTATTGTAAGGTCAAATGATGGTAGCTATCTGGCCTTTGGTGTTTGAGCTGATGAAGTATTTTCTTTCAATTTGTTGTTTTTTTATGATCATTGAATACTTACCCGTATCTTTCATTTTGCTGCCAAATCCCTTTATTACCAAGGATATCGCAGATGTAAGAATTTATTTATTTATTCAAATGACCTACAAAATTATCTGAAATTGGTTGGGCAAATATCGCCAAATTAAGTGGGAATATGACTGATTTATTTTATTTTATATTTTTAATTTTTCCCTACATAAGTACTATGTTTCATTTAGAAAAATTCCCATATTTACTTTATTTTCCATGCCCACTTGTAGGGAACCCTTGAACTGAAGGATGCCAGCCTATAAGATTGTGGATAGCAGATGTTGAGACTGGAAAAGCAAGACCCCTTTTTCAGGCTCCAGACATTTTTATAAATGCAGTTTTTGAAAAGTATGCTCCTATACCTCTGCATAGCATTGCTAGAGATTCTTTTCTGGATTTTAAATCTGTCTCTCCTATTTCCTTCTCAGCTTTGTGTGTGGTTAACAACTCAACACTGTTGGTTTGTACTATTTCTCTATCTCGAGGAGATCCTCCAAAGAAACCTATGATTCCTTCTGGTCCTAAAATTCAATCTAATGAACAGAAGGAGGTCATTCAAACAAGAACATTTCAAGATCTTCTCAAAGATGATGTGCCTTATGACTATGTTATAACTTTATAAGATTTAATCTTATTTATATTTTCTCATAATTCCGAACTATATTTAAGATTTTTGATAATGTACTTTCAATTGTAGATGTCGCAAGGATCCAATGAAGAACAACGAAGCCAGAACATCCGCCATCTGGCAAGGTCACAAATGTTGTTGTGGCAGGCGGAAACGTAAAAGGAGCAACATGAGCCGAGACTTTATGAGACCCAAGTAGGAGAAGGGTCAGGTAAGAAAGACATAACAATTTCAATATCTTTAAAGTTGTGCAAATATAAATAAAATTCATAACTATTCATTATGCAGGTACGTCTGCAGATGCTACATCGGCCAAGAATACACAGACTACTACATCACGTAAGTAAATTCATAACTATTCATTGTGTATTCTAATCAATGCAGAAGTACATCAGGTGGGATCCGGCTCATAAGGAAAAGGTCTTAAAGAAACTTAATACTAGGGCACAAGAGGCCTATAACAAGTGGATGAGTGATATTCGAGGTGGGCGGGATATACTAGGACATTGGAGATGGAGTTTATTTTGTATTACATGGTACTTACTATTTGGATGGTTAAAATGATTTCTTATAATGTTAGTTTGTGCTTGCTTGAGACATGAGTACGAATTTAAAATGAATATATTGTTAGTTTGTAATTATTTTGGAAGTATAGGAATTTTAAATGAACTAGTGATGATAATTTGTAAAATGATTTGCGATGGATATTTGGGAAGGAATGAATTCCCTTGAAAATTTTGAATCAATTTACGATGGATATTTGCGAAGGAATGAACTTCATCGCAAATTTTGAATCAATTTGCGATGGATATTTGCGAAGGAATGAACTCCATCGCAAATTTCGAAATAATTTGTGAGGGAAAACTATATCTTCGCAAAATTCTTACGCAAACATTTGCGAAGGAATCGATGTTTCGCTAAATTTCCTCACAAACATTTGCGATGGAATTTTTCCTCGGATCCAAATTAGCGAGCAGGTGTATAGCGATGACATGTATTCCTTCGCAACTTCCCTCGCTAACATGTTTTGCGAAGGAAATAATTTGATTTGCGAGGGAATTTTTACCTCGCAAATCAAGAGTTTTTTTGTAGTGTTCGATCAGCACCCTATCTTTCGTTCCTGAGCAAAATGGATGGATCTATTGCTACCATCACTCTATTCGTAAGCCAACTTTGATATCGTACATCTTCAAGGGAAAAAATAAGTGTTTATGTTACTCCAGACAATGTGTAGAATAGCAGATGCCTTCTGAGTAAGATCTTTGTTATCGAGAGAGATGAGTCGAATCAAAATTTAAGTGTTAGAAATATCATAGAGAGTCTTTTTCTAGATCTATGTACTAGCCTTTTTCCAAACGAGAGAGGCATGTAGGCAGAAAGGTAAAGAGTGCGGTAAGTCCTCAAAAAAATATCTGCAAAGCGAACATTCTGGTGATGATTGAATCTTTCACTTGATACATGCCCAAGTTGCTGGTAGGATCTGGGCAACAATTTTTCATAGAAAAAGCTTAATACGTGGACTAACATAACATTCCAAAGTGTCTTCCAAAAGGATCAAGAAAAAGATGACGGATATTGATCCTCTCTACCAATGTGGTACGCACTTTTAACCGAGAAATGACCGCAAGGATCAAAATGCCAAATAAGGGTATCTGACATAAACGTTTTTTAGAGCGGAATAGAAAGAATTTTCTCAATATCAGCCTCTAGGAAGCAGAGTTTAAGCATCCTAAGGTCTTATTCTCCCAAATCCCAATTAATGAGTTATGCCACCGTATGAATTGAGGATGGAAGAGGATGAGAGATGAATTTAAAGAAATAGGGTCATGGAATCCATCAGTCCTCCCAAACATTAAAGGATTCTCCATTTTCAACTTCAAACGAACTTCTTTGTGTAAAATGTTTATACCTGAGCATATCCCCTTCCAAATCCAAGAAGCTTTTCTTGGTGCTTTATACTCCAGCGAAAAACTTGTTGAGAATATTTTGGATGGAAGAATTTAAATCCGTCATATTTTTTTTATTGCGTTTGTACCCGGTCAAAAGACCGGGATCAAAGCATACGTAGTTCTGACTAAAGAACTACAATACAGTCCATGTCCCAAACCATAAGACTAGGCAGTATCAACCAAAAAGCTAACACAAACAAACAACCAAGTAGAAAAATCTACCGGAACTGAAACTCGGGAGTCTGCTCATTACCACTCTAAGAAACCTTCGGGCCTCCAGGGAGATGTCCTCCGGAAGGAGAGTCTGTGCATCAGGGAGTGTACTCTCCATACCTGCTAATGAGTCTGCAACTCGATTGTCCTCTAAGAAAATATGTGAAATCCTCTGTGTGATGTCCCGAATCCACAAACGAAGCTGAAGAATAAGAGGTTGGAGTGTCTAATGACCGGTCGATGAAGATATCAAGGAGATGCAAGTGGTGGAGTTCATCTCGATCCACAACGGTAAATGGTCTCAATCCACTGTTAGATCCTCTCCCATGCAAATCGCATAAAGCTCAGAAAAAATGTTTGTCGCTCTCTTGATCATCTGGAAAGCCGCTACCGCCGACCCTGCAGCTTCTCGAATTGTACCAGAGATTCCCACCGGCCCAGGGTTTTTGATAGATGCTCCATCTGTGTTGAGCTTAAACCATCCCATAAATGGCGTCTTCCACCGCACAAGGATCGGAGGATGAGGGATTGGCGAATGATACCAAAACCCGAGGCTCATTGCTACATGTAGATCTTCATCCCAATATTTTCATAGAAGGATACCGAAGCGCCAAAGTACCTGCAAGTGTAAGTGCACCTGCCAAATAATCCTATCGGATGAAACATGAATTTCAGAAGCTATGAGAATGTTATCAGAGATTTTCCAGCCTTTGAAGAATGTCGATTGCTCTGGTGAGATAATTTTACTAAACTCAACCTTCAGCCTATTTGCCACCATATTTTATATAATTTTATAAAAGATATTGCATAACGTAATATAACGATAATTTGATAAATCAAATGGGTTTTTTTATTTGGGTATGAGCAGTAAATAAGTAAAATTGAAGTATTTCACCAAACCATTCGAATTTGGAATAAAGAGAATTTCTCTCGAGTATCTTCACCAATGATGTCCCAATGCTCTTGAAAAAAAAAAACCGGCAAAAACCCATCTGGCCTTGGAGAAGATAGGCTTCTCATAGCAAACAGTGTTTCCTTAACTTCATCACCCGAGTATGATATTATTCGCTCATTCATCTCATAAAAAACAAAAGAATTTATTGTCTTAAGAAACAAATCAATCAAATGATCCGCAGGAGTACTCACCGTGAAGAGATTTTTAAAATAATCTTTCGCCTTCTGCGCAATATCTCTCCATTTGTCCACCTATTTTGGGTTTGAATTAACAATACCTTGGATCATGTTAATTAATCAGCTCACATAGGCGCACACATGATAATACATTTTGTTGTGGTTGCCTTCAAGATGCCATTGGATGTTTGCCTTCTGCTTCCAACAAAAGTTATTTCTGATCAAGAATTTTTTCAAGCTCTACCCATAACTACCTAACCGATTCATAAGAAATCTGATCCGGGTTAAGATTTTGGGCCTTTTGAGAGTTCTCGCGAGATTTTAGAAATTTCTAGATCGAGATCCTTGTGGAGGTTTTTCTTCCAATCCAGCATAAAATTTTTGCAAGAAAGCATAGCTTCACGGGAGTCCTAAGACTTAGCTGAATTTCAGGCCTCTTGAATCGTTTCTTTACACCTTTCTTGTAACAACCATGACGCTTCATATACAAATATTTTATGCACTTTGTTGTTTCTACTGCTCACATAGCCTTAACTAGATATATAAGTATTGAATCATGGTCAAATGTTTTCGCTTTCAAGCGTAGGAGTTTGCACAAGAGAACAGCTCCATGAGGGTTGAATTGGCCACTTGCTTTGTCCAATTTAGAGTAGATTTTTTCCAAGTTATTTTTTATATTACTCCGTGTGAGAGTTAGACCTTGTCTCGAGATCTCATCAAGGCCTCGGAAGAGAAGAGCTTTTCGAAAGTTTTACATGTGGAGAACAGGTCTAAGGCAACCACCAATTTTTTTCTCATTGTTAAGAATTTTATTGAAATTTCCAACAATAATCCAAGGGCCCAGAAACTTGTCCGAAATTCTTTGAAGAAAATTCCACGCCAAAGATTTGTCTTCTGACCTTGGTTCACTGTAGAATCCTAACGTCTAATGTTCTTTCTATCTGACCCTATCTCTATAATTACACCAATGGAACGGGGACGAGTACCAAGGAGAGACATATTTATGTCATGTTTCCATCATAAACCTAGACCTCCTGATAACCCACAAGCATCCTGAGCCACCCCTGGACAACTCTGTTTTCCTCTAATAACATCAAGTTTGACTTCTTTGAGTCTAGTATCTGTAATGAAAACCACTTCGGGTTTATAGCAACGAGTGAGCTCGTCAAGGTTTCAAATTGTCTAAGGGGTCCCCAACTTCCGCTAAGGATTTTCATAATGCTCAACGGAGTTGTATCACAGCCTCCGCCGTTGCGAAAGGGTTATTCTCCTCCATTTTGAATTCTAATTACTCCTTGGGTGATAAAGGAGGGTCAGGTTCTGAATTTGAGCATTTACGGTCTTTTAAAAAAAAAATTATATTGTCATAAGGCTCAGGTTCGAAAATGGGGCTTTGGGGGTTTACCTCTTTTCTTCATGTTTTGCTGAAGTGTGTTTCTAATTCAGATATTGATCTCTTCTTTATCCCAAACAACCAAAGCTACATGTCTCAAACCTTGCTCAACGAATATTATATGGTTATTTTGTTCCAACGACATACTTGTTCAGGGGGGAGAGAGAGGAGAGTATTGGTCAAGTACCCTACATCTTCTTTTGAGATTCTAGAGTCGACAGGATCCTAGAGGTTTATCCCGGATTAATTTTTGAACTAGCATCTTTTTTCGCGTCTCTACCTAAGGTAGAAGATATGGATGGGGAGTGGTACGAAGAGCTTTGTTTAAGTCTTCCTGGGACCCTGCTTTTGTCCTTTGCTCTCAACCATGGTCTATATGGGAACTCCATAGACACCTTCGAAGCCTCCGAATAATATTGCCTGCATAGCTCCTCTATGTGATCCAATTTCCCACAAAAATAGCCGAAATTCTGAAGGCATTCATAAGCAATTCTTAAGAAAAGCTCTGCTCCCAATTTTTTTTGAATTCTATGACTCTAGCGAGGGGTTTCCTAACATCAATATTTACTCAAACCCGTAAGGCAAGTTCCATTCCTATTCTCAGAAATTTATTCATAAACCTTTCGACTTTGTTTTCCACCAATTTTTCCATACCAGAAGTCATTCAGTTCACTGAGAGGTTGTAGATCCGGATATTAAAAAGACATTTGAAGATTTAGATAGCTGACGAATTCTTATCCAGAGGGACTTTAACAAGGATATTTTTTTGGATTGATTTAAAAATAGTAAAATATTGAATAGAAGATAAGATGTTATTAATACTTGAAATATAGCTATCATAAAAATGATTAGTGTTAATGGTCATATTGTGATTTTGTACTCACGTGAAAAGCATAGTAGCGACATCAG